AAATATGGTGGAGGTTCAATGATGTTTTGGGGTTGTTTTGCTGCCTCTGGCACTGGGTGCCTTGACTGTGTGCAAGGCATCATGAAATCTGAGGATTACCAAAGGATTTTGGGTCGCACTGTAGGGCCCAGTGTCAGAAAGCTGGGTTTGCGTCCAAGATCCTGGGTCTTCCAGCAGGACAATGACCCCAAACATACGTCAAAAAGCACTCAGAAATGGATGGCAAAGAAGCGCTGGAGAGTTCTGAAGTGGCCAGCAATGAGCCCAGATCTAAATCCCATTGAACACCTGTGGAGAGATCTTAAAATTGCTGTTGGGAAAAGGTGTCCTTCCAATAAGAGAGACCTGGAGCTGTTTGCAAAGGAAGAGTGGTCCAAAATTCCGGGTGAGAGGTGTCAGAAGCTTATTGATGGTTATAGGAAGCGACTGATTTCAGTTATGTTTTCCAAAGGGTGTGCAACCAAATATTAAGTTAAGGGTGCCAATACTTTTGTCCAGCCCATTTTTGGGGTTTTGTGTGACATTATGTCATATTTGCTTTTCTGCCTCTGTTTTATATTTGTTCCAATACATACAAAGGGAATAAACATGTGTATAGCAAAACATGTGTTAATGCAATACCTTTTTTGTGTGAAATACTTGATTTTCAGGAAAAATATCAAGGGTGCCAACAATTTCGGCCATGACTGTATATGGAATATCACTAGTTTATGTCATAGTCACATATTTTTATTTATACATTTTTTTGCATATTATGTTTGTGTTACAGGGGCAATGATGAAGACAGAGAGTGACACAATATGAGCGTTAATTAGGGTTTATTGATTAAGTTGCTTACCTGCCTGTCTTTTCCTTGTACAGTGAGCCACGCATGCACAGCTCACTGTACAAATTCGTCAATGCCAAATTTGACTTAACTCCCGCACATGCACAGGACTGATGTCATCACCGCTCGGCCACTGAAAGCGGCTGGTGATAGAGACCCAAAAGCTAGTTGCTTGAAGATGTCAGCGGCCGGGCGAGGAGCCTCAGGGAAGCCATATTGCTGAAGCCGAGGTGAGAATAAATCCGCTTTAACTGCAGCAAAAAAAAAAATCAGTTCTCCTCTGCCAGACAGGGCTGTCCCGTGTGCCAGAGCTGTGGAAATCTCAGTACTGGATGGACAGAAATACAAATCCTTTGGCAGATAAAACAGCTACTGCCTATGTATTTCAGCTACTGCTTATGTATATTTAGCAATTTACCTGAAGATCAGCTTTAAATAAACCTAGAGAGTTAATTAAAAAAAAAAAAAAAAAAAAACAGAAATCTGTTTCCATACGTTTACTAATAATTGATTCCAAATAATGTCTCTCAAACTTGCATAATGAGTCTTAGCTGTCATCCCTTTATTTACTCTTCTTTGTTCCCCAGTCTTACTATACAGGGATGGAAGGGAAGACCCAAATCACAGCCTCACTAGGTGCCTCCTGACTGGTACCACAGTTGAAGGTCTCTAGATTAAAGGGGAACTGAAGGTATTTTACAAGAAGCTGCGAGCAGTCAGCCTATTTATCGCTGATGAGACTTGCAATGTCTCTTTTGCAATAAGATACACCTACCTGTCTGTTCACACTCTCCTTAGGTATGTAAACTGATCTTGCAGATCCCGACCTGGTCAATGAAGATTATTATTATTATACAGTATTTATAAAGCGCCAATAGTTCGCTCAGCGCTGTACATTACAAAGGGGGACAGAACATGTGACAGAACAATACCAATACAATGCAAAACATGAGGGGATCGAGGGCCCTGCTCCTTGGAGCTTACAATCTAGGAGGGAGGGGATAGTGGTACAGGAGATAGCTGTGGGGGATGGAGTGGTAGGAAGAGTGGAGGAGGTCGGCAAGTTAGCAGGGGGTGGGGTAGGCTTCCCTGAAGAGATGGGTTTTCAGGGTGCGCCTAAAGGAGAGGAGAGTAGGTGATAATCTGATGGGTTGGGGCAGGGAGTTCCAGAGGATCGGTGACACCCTGGAGAAGTCTTGGAGGCGGGCATGGGAGGAGGAGACCAGGGAACTAGAGAAAAGGAGGTCTTGTGAGGAGCGGAGTGTGTGTGCTGGGCGGTACTTGGATATTAGGTCAGAGATGTAGTTTGGGGCAGTATGGTGGACGGCTTTGTACGTCAGTGTTAGGATTTTGAATTTGATCCGTTGCGCAATCAGAAGCCAGTGGAGGGATTGGCAGAGGGGGGTGGCGGAGATGGAGCGGTTGGATAGGTGAATGAGTCTGGCAGCCGTATTCAGGATCGACTGAAGCGGGGATAGCCAGCGGCGAGGCAGGCCAGTGAGGAAGGAGTTGCAGTAGTCGAGTCGTGATATGATGAGGGAGTGGATGAGCTGTTTAGTGGTTTCTGGGGTTAGGAACGTGCGGATTTTGGCGATGTTGCGGAGGAAGATGCTTGAAGACCGGTAACCTGGGGGAGAAGATGACGACAAGGGACCCCTTGTAGAATTCTGACCAATAGAGAGGAAGTAAGTATACTGCCTTTAATTCTGCTTTACGTGCATGTCGGTGAAACACATCAAAATGGGAGTTTTATTTTTACCATCTAGATCAGTAAAGTTTGTTGGGAATTCTAGACATGTGCAGAGTGTGGCTTCAAATTTAAATAGAAAAAAAAAAATCACCATTTTAATAAAAAGTTTAATTATTTTTTAATAAACTTCTTTATATACTATGTTTTTACATTATCTGTGAAAATATACATAAGAAAGAATGTTTTAAGCAGCTATTTACAATATAGTACATGGAAAACAGTAATCCCCTGTAAAAGTCAGCTCTTTAGTCAAGAACAGTGTTTCTCAACTTTGTAAAGTAGTGTTTTTGAAGTACTCATTGGTGTAGATCACTTTATCGCAGGTAATTCTGGTACATAGACATTAATGAACAGTGCCCCCTAATTTTTCATAGATAAGTTCCAGGCAATTTGTTATGTTTTTTCAGAACTAAAAATGATGGTATTTAAGTGGGAAAAAAAAACCCTTCCCAACATGCCCTTACCAAGCCAACGCTTAGATTGGCTCAAAGACTCAATGTGTATCTCTAGGCTAAACATTCTGTTAGTTAGGGAACAGGAAGACCCTCTGTTAAGTCTGTATTTTAGTCTGTGTCCCCAATAGGAAGATTTGTACCTATATTTATAATGGTGAACATTGTCACCAAGAATGAAAAAAAAAAGAAATCCAATATTCTTATTGTTGTCTCCAATACAAAAGGTAAGGGGAAATCTTCCAAAGGGGACATTTCTTTCTGCGGACAGAGTCATTCCCATCACCCTGGGAGATTTCTTATAATTTCCAGTTTTGTTTCTAGAACAGGAAATTGAGGGAAAACTCCCCAACAGGACACAATCAGCAAAAAATAAACAGACAGGGTTTTTAACCCTACCCCTAATCTATCTAAAGCTTAAACATTTTGGCTATGAAGACATGTTACCCCCACCCTACCCTAATTTCCAATTCCATTTTTGCTGAAGTTGCCAAGCAAAGATATAAAAAAAATGGTGAATTCAATGAACTGCAAGCAGATAGGTTTGAAAATGCTCTGATAGAAACTGGTAGAAAAATCTGATTACTTTTTTGCAAAATTCTCATTTTTTTTCACAAATTTGTTCTTTCATAAAACTGTATTGAAGCTGTCCATTTATTGCCCAATTTAAACTTCAAAGTTGATTGATTTCTGATGGTTGTTCAAACTTGTGGGCGGTAGGCTGGTTAGTTTCAAGCGATTTCTTATGAACAATCCTATGTGTGATATCCAGTGGTTGAAATTGAATGAAAAATGCCAAGTGTATGTCAGTCCCAGTGGTGTATTTAGGTTTTGTGCTGCCCCAGGCAACTCAAAAATCGGACCCCCCCCCCCCACAGAGAGAGCCTGACATTGAACAGCAACACCCCTGCCCGAGAGAAAGAGAGACTCACCTTCACAGCTCCAGACGTCCCTAGGAACGAGAGTAGGGCTTTGCATACACCATCAGGCAGCCCACAGCCTCTCTCGGATCCTACCTGGTCCCCATGCTGTATGTGTTCTTTGTCCTTTCTTCCAGGGGGCAGTGCTGCCCCCGCCCCCCCTGAAAAGTGCCGCCCTAGGCAAATGCCTTGTTTGCCTTGTGGTAAGTACGCCCCTGGTCAGTCCACCATTTATCTCTTATTGTCACCTAAACCCTGAAAATTAACCCCTAATATTTAACCTTTTTTGTACAACTGCATCTTTGTACTTGTACTCCAGATCTTGTTATATGATTAATGAGAGCACCTGTGTGTGCTCCACTGGGAAGCCTTTGACAAGCGGATGTGCGATTAATCACTACTATGGCACCCTCTGTCTTTCTAAAGTACAGGTTTCTTTTAACCCTAAAATATGTAACTCCCTAAAAAACTGAACCTTAACCAAACTTCTAAAACCTTTCTGGTATCAGTACTGTGTCAAGCCCAATGGCACAAAAAAACACTATACAAATACTTGAGAGAAGCCATCCTCTTGCAACCCCAAGCTCTGTTACGGGGTTTTTTTTTTTATTCGGCAGTAACTTTAGAGGAGCCTTCCATTTCAAGATCAAGAAAACTAAAGCCTAACTCCACATTTATTGTCCCTTAAAATAGTTTGTTTGGGTCAAGCTGTCCCAAACAAACTAATTACTACACTAACAGATACACTTCTTGGGCATTTTTCTATTCACAAAAAAAAATAATGATATCATCAGCAAAAGGGGAACCCTATACCATCACCAGTTCTCCATGCATGGATTGTCAGCTTTCAAATCAAATGTTTTCATTCAAATTAATATTCTTCCAGTGCAGTTTAGTTAATAATATTGTCTGGTTGGCTCCTGTGGCATTTTGTCTTACAAACTGATAAGGTCAGTGTCTACAAAGACCATTTAGAATGCTAAATATTTGGGTTAATTTCACTGTTCAAAGCTTGTTTTGGCACAATCTTCTCCTGTATGACTTCTCTGCAGTCACCTTTCCTTATCTGAGCAGTGTTCTGTATACTCATAGATGCATATGGTTCCATCTTTTCTTCCAGTCAGCAAAGCAGTAAGGGCTGTGGCTCCATCGTACAAGACACCAGGGTGCGTCCAAGCTGGGGGGAAGTGTAACGCTGCAATGACTTCTGGGTATATCCCAGAGTGCTATGCTTCCACAGGTCAATACTGCAGCTGCCTTTTGTCTTTTAACATCCCCTTCCTGATATCTAGATTGAAAGAAAAAAATTATCAGCTATAGTAGCATATGATACAAAAACTGTAGCTGTTGACTCTTAAAATACAGCCACTTAGCTGTCCCTCGGTCCAGCGGTGTCCTCATCACCGCTGGTTTCACCGGCCGTCTTCTCTCCCTGGCACCGGCATCTTTAGTGTGGGCACCCGGCTGTGACAGCTTGCTGTTTCACAACCGGGTGCCCACTGCGCATGCGCCAGAAGCGTTGCGCTTTGTGAATGCCCTGTAGTCTACTGGGATCTGTCACGTGTCCCAGAAGACTACGGGGAGGGAGGGAGGAAAACTTCTGCTTCCGATTGCTTAGGCGATTGCAGCGGAAGTGGAAGTGGGAACCTGTCAAATTCGGGTACCCGATCCCTCCCTGCTGCCCAAAAGTACCAATCCTTAATGGGCAGCGGGGGACAAAGTATTAAAGCGGAACTTCCCCTTTTGGGTGGAACTCCGCTTTAAAGTGGTTGTTGAAATATGAACAAAACATATCCCCTCTATAGTGTGTACTTATATCAATCCAGAGAACTAAGCGTCATTTCTGTCTGCTGCCTTGTTCCTCTGACAATTTTTCCTGACACCGTGAGGAAAATGGTTGAGGGGGGGGGACGGGTTGTATGTCTCTTCCCTCCAATCAGAGCTCTCCTCATTGATATAACTTCAGCTGCCCACCCCCTGATTTTCAGAGCTGCAAGATCCTGTATAAATTGTGCACTTTGAATGAATGTAGGGGAAAGACATCTGTAGATAAACAGGTACAACTTAGGTAGGGGGATTTGTTTAATCTCTGTGCATCACCTGAGATTAGCCACTTCACTGGCTATGTGTCATGCAACCCCATAGTAGTATGACAGGTCGCACAAGTGTGAATTGGCTATAACGCTTTCCATGACTGGTTAAGCAGTGCTCAGCCTGATTCTATAATATTCTAGAAGGGGGGCAGGAAGTTCTTGTGTCACTGCCAGAACACACTGTTATCGGAGGGTATGGAAGCAATCAAGCGGCTGCCTAGCCGCCAGACCGCTTCCATCTGACACCTGGCAGTCAACTTGTCAGATACACACACACTCCTAGTGGCTTTAGCCACCAGAAGTGTGTGTAAAACCCTCTGCTGTCAGGTCTGTACAACATACAAACCTGGCAGTAAAATGGTTAAAGTGAAGTCAGGCTTCAACTAGTGCCTTTCAGCAGTTCTGTATAAAATATGTAAGAAACCTGTGCAATATTTTCCAGGTTGATAGGGTTTAATTTACAACGTAGGCTAAAAAAATCTCTATAATAATCCCCTTACCTTGTACTAGGTTTGTCTGGAATGACATAAGACATAATGGGAGTGTTAGCCCCTCCTTGCGGATTGGTGGCAATCAGCTTGAATATACAACTGCCTGCATCCTCACAAGGCTTGCCGAACAAACTGGAGACAACCAAAAACAACAAACCCTGAAAAAGAAGAAGTACAATGTCAGCTTCAGAAACAAAGGGCACACATTGAATCTAAAACCCAGTTTTGTTAACCTCCTTGGCGGTATGATTCTTTCCGATTTTTTGTGCTGAAAGCGGTACCATTTTTTTGCATGGAAATATGTAGTTTTTTTTATTGTAGGCTGTAATTTTTAGGAATAACTCACTGAAATCTGTACGAACAAGAGTCTAGTAAACATTCTGGATATGATAAAACTTGAAACACGAAATCATAAATTATAATTTAATAAATAATCATAAAAAAAATAATAATATAATAATAATAAATTTGATTCAATATTATAATCAAACCAAAAACACTGAAATTTGAAATATAGCGCCAAGTTCGCACATCGCTGAGCAAAGTCGCAAAATCGTTTTCAGTGTCTGATGACGAATTTCCCCACAAATCATTATCACTCAATTCTGCAAGTGGTTCTGATTTACTATCGCTGTTCTAAAACCGCTTTTGACGTAAAGGGACACTTTTTGGACACCATGGACTTTTCTAAGTTTCCAGGCAGAAAGAACAGTCAAAATGCAGGCAGGGCACAGGACAAAGCAGTAGGGACAAAATATATGTGAAATGCATTGAGACAGCAAAAATGACATTTTTTAAAAATTTCAAATTTCCCGCCGGCGTCCTGACGTCACAGGGATCGGAACACAGAAGCCGGATGCCGGCATCGGCCGGAGGAGATGGCCGTGGACGCTGCAGGGGACACATCGCGGGAGCAAAGGACAAGGTAAGTGCTGCAGGGACCCCCTGAGCAACGCCGCAGGGTATGCCCGAGTGTAGCTCGGGGTTACCGCTCTTGGTATTGAAATTTTACCCCGAGCTACACTCGGGAATACCGCTAAGGAGGTTAAATAGTTGTCAATGGAGAAAAAAAACAGAAGAAGTGTCTCACAGAGTCAGAGGTTGCGCTGAGACAGGTGAGGTCAGAGCAGTGGTCACCCACGTAGATCGTACTCAAGAGGTGTCCAGTGACAGCATTCCTACAACACAAAACAGCCAACACTGACAGATTGAACAACTAACAAAGTCACACTATATAGTAAAGCAACAATCTTTCTCATATAGGGCAATGATCAGCAACCCATAGAAATAATATTTTAGCTTTTAAAGCATCATAACAATGAAGGAAAGCTCCGTTTGATTGCTGTTGGTCAATGCACATTGCTCTTAGCCCAAATATGCAATATAAACAGACTTCAAATGTTCATTACAAATGGTGGTATTCTACATCTATGGACTTTCCCTACATCGGCATCCTGATATCCCACTCTCTTCCTAAAAAATATGGGTTGCTCTATTAACAGCAGACAGAACTCTTGTGGTCATGCTTGTGCCTTTCCTGCTCCCTTCACCTCCCTATTGGTGAGTGAAGCTAACCTTCACACTTTGTGGTCAATAGGGAGGCAAAGGGGATTGGGAGGCACAGGCAACAGCACAACTGACTTAATTTGGTTTTTCTGAACAGCAGCGAGCTTTGCAGATTAACGAAGCGTGGAAGTTACTTATATTACAGTCAAGTTCTATATCATTTACAAGTCCACAACTTTGTTTTAAAGTGGAATTAAAGCCTAACACGAACTATTCTTAACCACTTGAGCTCCAGAAGGATTAACCCCCTTCATGACCGGGCCATTTTTTTTACTATTCAGCACTGCATTACTTTGACTGGCAATTGCACGGTCATGCAACACTGCACTCAAATGAAGCCCAGCCATTGTTGGTGCCCCCTCTTGCCTGCATCTGCTGCTCACAGGCACAGGAGAGCCGGAGTTGCAGGATCGTGTGACTTGACCCGAGTGGATTAAATATAGGTAAGTTTAATGATCTTTCTTATATAGAGTAGGCAGAATAGGTAGGAGGAGGAAGGAAGGGACGTTTTGTAAGAATAGTTAATATGCTAGGCTTTAATTCCACTAAGGTAAACACATTTATTAATGCAGGTGGTCTGAGGGCACTACAAATGTTTTGCTGATCACACGACTGACCAGAAAGTAAGGGAAATACTGTTGTAAGATACAAGCTAAAGAAGAAAGGTTAGGCTTACCAGACAACCACATAAGTATCCATGGTGGATCCAACCAAAGCATCCCTCTTTCCTTCTACTTCACAGAAGGCCAGAACACTGTCTCTGGGGGGCACCAATGAAAGGGATTCCACTGTACTGCAGAACAACAAGTCCATAAGGAATGTATTACAACACAGAAATATGTACTAACAACACCACTCACTCTCTGTGATTGAGATAAATTGATTCCAGTAAAGTATCCTAGGAGATATAACCTATACACAGCTATAGCTGATTGAAATAATTGCTTAATAATAATAATAATAATAAATAACCCCTTCACGCCTAAGGGTAAAACAGATCTTAATGCCTAAGCACAACTACTTTGTACATCCAGGTGTATTATACCTTTTTTTTTTTTCAGGACAAATTGGGCTTTCATTTGGTGGTAAATGATAATGGTTATCTCCTGATTTTTTTTTTTATTATTATCAAAGGAAAAACTGGCCCAAAATAGTAAAAAAAAAATTAATTTTTTTAAATTTAGCTGTGTGTTTCTTATTACTACCATAAGCTACCACCAAAAGAACAACCCAAAATAAATTTTCCAGCTCTTGATGATTGCAGAGACATATATATATACACATATATGTGTATGTTATTTGTTGTTATTTGTGTATGTTATTTGTTGTTTGTACCCGTAGTACAGCCCAGAAACAATAGTGCGCATTTTGTTTTTTGTTTCCCTGAAACACACTGACACTAACACCAAAGTTTTTTTTTTTTTATCCTGACCTTTTGACCTTGACCCTGACCCAAACACTAACCCTGGCACTGAACTAGATCAAACCTTGATCTAGGTATTTTTTCTTTATTTTTTTCCTTTATTTATTTAATAAACATTTTTTTTTTCCATCTACACCAGGAGTTAGAGAGATACAATGTATCTCTCTCCTCCATTCATAGAGAGAGAACAAAAACCAAGGGGGCTGGGCTGTGCAGTGACTGATCACTGTGATAGCCAATCAGAGGCTATTACAGCAATCATGTGACCTGCAGTGCGGCGCGCTCCCAACACAAAGACAGGTACGCAAATAAGCAGCCCCACGGGAAAAAAAGCTCGGTTCTGTGAGGCCGCAAATTTGTGTTGCGTAGGCGTCAAGGGATTAAACAGCCCGCAAACTGTTGGGGTGTCCCAGGAATGCAAAGAAATTGCTACATTGAACTAGCAAACCAAAAGTATGTACGGGCAAAACCAGGTTCTTGACTTTTCCTCCTCTACAAACTGTGTGAGATTCAAATTTACATGAAATTAAAGTGTAACTAAAGGCAACATTTTTCTTTTCGTTTTCGATAGAGTAAGGGAGGCTTTTAACCCTAAGTAATTTCTTTCCCTTCTGTCATCCATTGAGGAGACTTACCTTCACTTCCTGTCCCATAGCCAAGTGGGAAGTGAGAGGAAATCCCTCCAATGTAAGAAAATGCCTTATTGTCACCAGAACTAGTGTCCCCATTGGAAGATTTCCACTCTATTGCTGTTCTGGGGACAACCCAAAATTTGGGATTTTCTTTAAAGTGGGTGTAAAGGTTAAATGTTTTTGGCCTTAATGCATTCTCTGCATTAGCCCTGGTTAACACCGCCGCAATTTCAGGTGCGATATGGGAATTGAAATCGTACCTGAAATCAGATCTAATGAATGTGAGAGTCTTAACATACGAGATTTGCTGCAGCGCGATTTCAAAAGTAGTTATTGTATTACTTTTTCTGCACTTTGCTGTTATTTCACATATAGACTAAAATAGAAATTGCAATGCAAAACGCAATGGAAAACGCATGAAATCATTAGAAAATCTCCAAAAAATCTTCAGAAAACGTGGTGAAATCGCAAACAAAACGTACGATTTTAAATCGCATCCAGTGTGAACCCAGCCTTAAGGTGAAAAATCTTTATTGTGCAAAGCAACAACGCTTTAACAAAAATCTGCTATTTGAACATGTTTTAAAGACAAAAGAATTATCAGAACAGACTAAAAGTGGATCTCCCAGTAAAATACAGACACTGTCTGGACCTCTTTCTCCTTCACAAATCACCTACTATAAGTAGCTGTAAAATGTACATATAAAGAAAGATGAAAGGTAGGGTTTTATATCTCTCACCCCTGTTTTCTGCCTGTGGTACCTAGGTTAGCGTGACGTCCCGCTGGCTAAATCCTGGGAATACAAAGCTGTCGAAATCTCCAAGAAAGACAGTTTAACAAAGGACAGGAGTGGCAATTTGACAAAATCGGTCTCACAGAATGAAACAAAGTGGATCCTACAGCTTAGAACTTTAACCCCAAGAGGGTTGAATGTTGATATTGACCTTAATTGTTTCCTGTCCAATTGGTAATTTTTTTTGGTTAATTTTTCCTTTTGAGATTAATTAAAACATTTTTTTATATAAAAAAATTAAATTTGATATTATTTATAAAAATATGTTTTATTCATTTGATTAATATATATATATATATATATATATATATATATATACACACACACATATACACACACGCACACTTTTTTTTTATTTTAATTTTTTAATTATTTAATGTAATTCTATTTCTTGCATTTATAAGTATATTGATTAATTGGTTATGAGATTGAGAATTATGTATCTGATTACATGTTGTTTACTCACTTCTATTGTTTGTACATAGATTGTATCCCATTCCTTGTCGGTGAGGATTTGATAGACGTGAATTGGCAGCGTTTATTATCATAAAATTAATGGGAATCGAGAGTCCAATCATAGCTAAGAGGTGGATCGACAAGGGAGTATTTTAGGAAGGGTTTTACCGGAGGATATTGTCTTTGATAATGCCCTGGAGAAGGGGCAAAACGCGTCGAGACACTTTCCGGTCATTCCTCATATGTCCTGATGTCACGTCCGGTGAGTGGAATACACGCGGAGCGCTGCGTTCCAGGGCCATCTTTACTTTTTTTCCCATGAGAGCTGCCAATTCATTACTCTGTGGAAATCTTCAGTGGCAGAGATGATTATGATGGTCATATTCAATTGACTAAAGGCATTTTCTGTGTTTTTAACATGTGAGTGCAATTGATGCAGTTTTTTGGGAAATAAATTGCTTTTGACAATATTACACTATTAGTTTTTTTCTTTTTTATATTGAGCAAATTGTGTGAAAATCCTTCTATTGGAGCATCTTTCTGAATTGGAGAAAGTCCCTATTGGCAGAATATTCAATATCCAAAAAGCGTTTTTTTGACTCAAGCTTTTGAGAGTCCATTACATTTGGTGAGTGCAATATATGTTGGTTATCACAGATGGTGTCAATACACTGAAGTTTCTTTTGCACGTGACACATCATTATTTCTTTGGAGCACATTGGATGTGGAATATTTTCAATTTTTTGGATTGGGACTTTTCGTATTGTTTTGATTTGGACATTAATATTATTTATGTTTATTTATTTATATAATTGTTTGCGCTGTGTTTTTCTTTTTACACATTTTATTGTTTGATTACGAGATTTTGCCTGTTCTGTATTCCCTAGGAATTTTCCTGCAAGGATGGTGATACCCAGCGATTCGGAAGATGGGAGTCAGGTAATTATAAAAATCTACCTTTTTTTTACAGGTACATTTTACAAGTACTAATATTAGGTGATTTGTAAAGGGCTAGGGGTCCCAAGTTATTTGAGCACACCTTGCACTTTACTGCAAAGCTCACCCTAAACATTTGTCCTTACCTTCCTGTCTCTGACAACTGCTGCACTTCTACAACTTGGCCATGTTCTCCACTGCTGACCAGACGGTGCCTCGACAGACCCTGAGCAGTTTTCATGTGCCCACGTTTGACCAGCTGCTTCTCCCAGCCAAGCCTTTCAGGGGGTGAGAATAAAGCCCTATGCCAAATGAGAAATCAAGACAACAGATGAACATCAGACAAGAAAGATACAATCTGATAATAAGGAATATAACTTGACCTCTTACTCACATAATCAGGTATAGTAGTATGATGATCAAAGGCCTGCAGTATAATGCTGTACTAAGTGCATGCATATCGGTATATCACCACAGGATGGGCATCCAAATAAATGTGAAGCTACACTCAAACTGTTTTCCAAACCTGTGCCAGTCACATCCCACACACACACACACTACTTACAAGCACTACTGTTATCTGACAAGATGTAAGAATTTGTCCTTACCAGATCTCCATGATTTCTAGACTTCCTAATGCAACACAAACAATATTCTTCTCTTGAGATAATGGAAGTATCTGGATAACTGGCATCTAAAATAAAACATATGCAGTAAAATTGAGAAAAAGAAACAAGCCAAGGAATTCCCTTTACTTTCTGAAGATCTCCTCTCACTTCCTGTTGCATCTACAGGGCAAGAGATTAACCACTTCAAGTCCGGACACTTTCACCCCCTTCCTGCCCAGGCCAACTTTCAACTTTCAGCACTATCACACTTTGAATGACAATTGCGCGGTCATGCAGCACTGTACCCATATGAATTTTTTAGCGTTTTATTGAGACAGATAAAACTTTATTTTGGTGGTATTTATTCACCGCTGGGATTTTTATTTTTTTGCTATATAAATGAAAAAGTCCAAACATTTTGAAAAAAAAAAAAAAAAAAAAAGTGTTTTTCTTATAAGATTTTGCAAATAAAATAATCTTTCTTCATAAATCTTGTCGAAAATGTATTCAGCTATCTTTTTAGTACAAAAAAAAAAAAAAAAAAAAACCCAAATTAATTTATAACCAAAAATTATAAATTTTTCAAAAAATGTTTTTACATTTTATTTTTTTTTTTATATTATTATTTATGTTTTTTTTTAACATACTGTCACCCTAGCAGTACAGTGTCACCATAGTACTACTTCTGGGGGGGTGATGAAGATTTTTTTTTTGTACACGGATTGCTTTTACACCGATAAAGGCTGTAAAAACAATAATTTCTCCTCTCTGGTTGCATTCTTGCAGCCATTGAGAAATACTGTGAGAGCTGTGATTGGTCAAAGCTTGTCACATGGTACAAGGTTGTTGTGAATAGCCTTGTACCATGTGACTTCTGTGATCATTCACAGATTTCACTAGCAGTAAGCAATGATGTCAACAAGTGACATCTTGCTTACCAGGGGCAGACTGACCATTTGGAAACTCGGGCACTGCCGATGGCCCGGGGTCAGTAGGGGGCCCCATGAGATGCCCCTGGTACCTTTTTCATAGGCTTTTTTGAGTTTGGGCAAGGACACAGCGGCCCCATGATCCCCTATTGCGCGGGGGCCCCATGAGTTGTCAGTCCGCCCCTGTTGCTTACTACTATTCATTTGATCACAGATTGGCCAATCAGTGATCACATGATCGGGACCTCACACAGAGGTCCTGTAAAGCAATCGGTGTTCCTCTGTGTCCAGAGGACACAGCAGGCACCGGATTACAGTGCCGCTCGCTCCTAGGGAGTGCGCATATGCAAGGAACCGGGAGGACGTTTATAAATGGCCACCCGCTCCTGCATTGCTCCCTTCCAGCCGTTTATGTACATGGGTCGGACAGGAAGTGGTTAAAGGAAATCTCCCCAACAGGCCCCAGACAGGAATAAAAATCCGACTGAGGGGGTTTTAACCTTTCTTTTGTCTAAAATCGTAAAAAAGGCTTTGGTCATATGGCACACACACTTTGAACATCTGGTAAATGAAACTTACGTTTATCGCCGACTTACCTCTGTAAAGCTCCAAGTGTGAGCACAGTCCCAATTCCCTTCTGTCTGGGGTCTCCAAAGGCAAACAGAGGATTCACTCGCTGCTACAATGCAGAGCTCTGGACTTCCAGAGAACTCCCACCAAACCGGACACAGATCTACTGTACAACCACCACCACAGCTATCCTGCAAACACAGCACACAGGTTTGCATTAAAACTTGATTCTATACAAACTGCAAAATAAATCACTGAAAGAAATATATATATTGTATGTTTACAGTTTTACATGCTAAAGGATTTGTAATTTTGGCCAGCCATTTAGTATCTACCTGACCCAGAAAGCAGAAGATACTCTGCTACTTTCTGGGTTACTATTACTGCTTCCGGAGCTCTATTCTCACTTGACAGAGGTAAAGATGTGGATTCATTGTCCAATGAGAAGGCTGCAGAAGAAATGGTGAAACAGAAAACTGAAGCATAGAACCAGAGGGATGAATTGCTTAAACAGAAATTACGTGTCATCCATCTGACAGTGCAAGTGTGGAAAATGAGCGGGAATCTCAATATCAGCTGTATGGAAATCCAATTTGGCAGGTAAAACAAAAAACATATACCTATTTTACCTGTGTATTTAACAATTTTAGGTTTCATTAAAATCCCCAAACTATATTACACATACAAATAGATACTATACATTATTATTATTATTATACAGGATTTATATATTATTATTATTATACAGGATTTATATATTATTATTATTATACAGGATTTATAAAGCACCAACAGTTTGCTCAGCGCTTTACAATATAACGGGAGACAATACAGAAACAATACAGTTCAATACAAGAGAGTTAGGAGGGCCTGATCCTGGGAGCTTACAATCTAAGAGGGAGGATAAACTGTTTTATTGCAATAAACAGAATTTAAAGTTAATTCAATTTAAAGTGGTTATATAGGCACATTTTTTTCCTAAAAATAATAAACATGTTATACTTACCTACTTACCATTGCACAGAGCAATCCCTTACTTCCTCTTCTGGGGTCCCCAGCCAGCACCCTCTCTGCTCCTCTTTGGCGAGTGCCCCTATAGCAAGCCAGTTGTCAGACATTTGTCTGAAGTCTTCTGGTTGGTCACATGATGTGTTGGGTCATCTTTTTCACTGGTCATCTCCCAGTGTTGTGAAGTTCTGAATGATGCAGAAAGTGGTGCTCACATGATGATATCAGCATTGCTCTCTGCAAAGTTAACACTGTGAGTGAAGAATTATGGGGCGGGCCATGACTCTCCATACTCTACCGCACAGGTGTCAAACTGGCGGCCCTCCTGCTGTTGCCAAACTACAAGTCCCATGAGGCATTGCCAGATTGACAGTTACAAGCATGACTCCCAAAGGCAAAGGCATGATGGGACTTGTAGTTTGGCAACAGCTGGAGGGCCGCCAGTTTGACACCCCTGCAGTCTACCGGGTTGAATGGTGCTGGGTAAAAAAAAGAGGTACTGCACGATGCAGCCACCAACTTCAGGAAAGGGGCCTGCAACCTGCAGCATTTAAAAAAGTTTATTCACCCTCCCTTATGCTATGCAGCTGCAGCGCAGCAGAATGGATGGATAACAACCATTACTTTACTGTTCTTTTAGTAGGTAAAGCAGTATCTTCCGATTACAACAGAGCATTTCACTTTCTGGCTGACGTTGTCCTTTAATGTTCCCACAGCCAACAGTACAATCCTGGTGGCTTTTGGTTAATGTAATAGAAATGGCTAAATATGCTATAAAGCTTTCAGCATGCCAAGCTGGGATAGGATTTACTGTGTACTGACCTTTATTTCTGAAAGTAGACGTAGGCGACCCCCTGATCCAGTCTCTACTTCTGTATCTTCATTATCAGCTCTTTTGGATAACACCTGAGGGGAAAACATAGTGAGATCTGCCAATAACTAATGCAGTTACAGTTTCTGACAAGCAGATATGTGAATATATTCATATTGCCTTAAAAAATAAAAAAAAAAAAAAACCTGACCTCAAATGAACTGTGTATACCAATGTACTCCATTATCATCCAGTTCAGAACACAGAAGACTCATACGAGAAGGATTACCAAAAGCAATTCTAGTGAGCTATTTACTTCCTTTTGTTGGTTAACAATGCATCCTCTGCGGCACTGAAATCCCAATCGGTATTGTCTCCCCATTTCCCCCCTGTTGAACTACAAAAATGCCTATCCAACAACCCTCTCTGTGCCTCTCCACATGCATAAATTAAATGTATTTCTCAGAAAAATAAATTCTGCTGCCTTGATTTCCAAGAACCTGCCCATACACTGGGCATAGGAAAAGGGTTCTTGGGAGATGTAGTTCAGGGGTGCGTGTCTATGTCAGCTGAAACTGAGCTAGGATGTCATACTGATCCCCCCTGCCCCTAGCATTTTCATTGTCAGTGACCACCCCTACATTTCACTTAAGATAGGTGTACTGCATACAATATACGTAAATTACATCAGAGATAAACATTTACTACATGTACAGGCTCTGCTTTCTGCTTAGTAGGTAAGCACTACTATTAATCTACTGGAAGTAACTAAACAGACGCTCACTGTTGTTACTCCATTAATTTGGCCTGTGACTATTCTGCTAGAAAGACAGCTGCTACAAATAGAATCAACCGATCTGTATAGACTAGCAAGTATGTAAAAGTGTTGCTTTAAAATTGTCAGAACATAGTTAAAAATCTGTACTCACAAAGATTTCACGTGTTTCCCTTTAAAGCCCAATTGAACTTTTAATTAAAAAAAAAAACTTAATAAACAATTCAGGTATATACAAACAAAAGGTGTGCAAAGCCTTACCAATGACGTTCTTTAAAAATTAGCAATAACTTGAGTAGAAAACCTGCCCCCTACCATCATACTGCAAAGTGAGACCTATGCTCTCAGGGTGGAAGCAGTAGTCTCCCTGCAGAAGTTCACATGCCTCCTGCTGAGTCAGAGCTAGAGATTCCCCATCATAAGGCCCACCATGCACACAAATAATCCAATCCACTTACATATACAGATCTATCTTTGTCAGCCTTTGACAGTAGGCTGTTCTGATGCTCTAGATATTGACAATGACCTTCAACCATCATGTTATCATCTTGTCCCAATACATCATGGCATTGCTTGGAGTCTTCTATATCTCCAGCACCACCCATACACCTCAAGGACATAAATTCAGGGCCTTCTCTACTACAGACCTCTGGAAGAAAAACTTTCTGTTGCCTCTCATCTGCCAGACTGCAAGTAACAGATGTATTGCTGCCATGCAGTGAAGAAAAGATGGCTGGAGTTGAACCTAAAAAAGGAAGCCCTGGTGTGCAGGATGAAGCCACAAAATCGTTCATAGTCTCTAGAGGGACAGAGCATAATGATGTTGAGAAGAGGACACTACTCTTCAGTTCTTTTGGAGAAGAAAGTTTTCCAGGTATGTTTGACTGTGTAGGGGAATCTGTGGGAACAACATTGGATTCTATACTTCTATGTGAATCAAGATTTGCCCATAAAGTCTCGGCATCTCCGGAAACATCATTAAGTGGAATAAGAGCTTGTACTTCACCATCACTCAAAGAACAGGTGGGAATTGCCAAAATGTTTGGGGGTATTTCATGATCAGGAAGGGGCCTTTCTGGAATACAGCTGGTATGTCTAGGATTGTCATCATCTGGAAATTGGTTTATTGAAAAGTCTTTTTTAGGAGAATGGGATATTTTCTCATTGGAGTCTAATACCTCTACAACAAGTGGTAGTGCACTTGTTGGCTCACTTATAAGAGAGTGTGATGGTTCTGCTGCATCTGCTGATGGCTCTATATTATTTTCCAAAGTGTCTTTGTTGCAAGAAGTTGGATCAACATTCAAACAGTGTTCATTCGTTTCTAATAGATTTAAGGCTCTCTCAAATATTTGAGAATAAGCCTCCGGATTACTTTCCTGCAGCACTGCTGAGCTACCTGCAGGCAGCAATGTATTGCTGTCATTGTTAGGATGCTGGCTGTACTGTCTTATCTCTCTCGGTGTATGTGGTGTGTGAATGGTTCCAGGTGATTCACGGATTTCAGCTTTTCAAGCTTCAGAACGCCAAAGTCCTCATCTGGCAAGTGGAAGTCTGTAATTTTCAAGTTGTGAGACAGACGGTCCAGACTGATTCTGTCACTGAAGACAGGCAAAGGCGAGTCTATAGAAAAGACATCACAAACAGAAACATACCAAAAAAAGAGATATTTATCTTCAAAAAATTGCTAAACACATTTATTTTAAAGTAATCAATATGTCTACTTTGTTCTCAAGACTGATTCCAGTACCCCAGTGATTAAAGAAGAACACAATGCGCACATTTATATTTTCACCTCTTAGGCCTTATGCACACTGGAGGTTTTTACAGCTGCTCCTAAGGGCGTCTTTTTGTTTTTTCCTCTAAACTCCCCTGCATGTTAGCCTATGTGTCCATGCACAGACTTTTTGCTGCTTTTAGTGGCAGGAAAGTTTAGAGACAGGGAAAAAAGCCAGTGTGTCCAGGAGCAGCAGAGTTTTGACAGAAAAAAACGCTTTATGCTGCTAAACAAGCCTAAATGCCAGGCACATTTAGCACTTCAGCGTTTATTAATTTCAATAGCCAGGAATAAGTGAAAATTCTGGCCAATGAAATAAATAAATGCCCAAACACCAAACAATGCCAAACTTTGCTAAACTGGTTTGAAAAATAGCAGCTTAGGCAAGTTTTTTTAATGCCGATTTTCTCCCATCAGGGGAAGCAGCATTTTACAAGACCTTAAAATTTCTATTTACTAGGCCAAACAGGTCCTTGCCAAAGCATGGTGGTCCTTCAACCCTATGACAGCACACATAAAACATAAGATGACAAAACAAGAAAAAAAAGGCCATGAGCTTCAATTATTCTATATGTTGAAACACACCAGGGTGGATAAAAATCAATGATTTTTTTTAAAAAAAAATAAAAAAAATCAGATTTTGTTGATTTAAATCGGATTTTTTTTATTTAAATCGGATTTTTTTGAATAAAATGCTTTTTGAGGAAAATATATTACCATCCAAAGGTTATGCTATCATGAAATAAAGATTCGTTTTTTAATTATGTAGAATAAGGCTGTATATGTTTAATTATTTTGGTAAATAAATTCCATTAATCCATTCACAATGTCATGCTCTTCCAGAGGTTTCTGTAAGATTATTGGGCAGTTTCTCTGCCTACAAGATATTATCACAGATGATTGGTTTACTTTTGCAGTTCTCAAAACTGAATTTGACTCAGCGGAGATCACATGCCTCTTCTTCACAGCAAAAATGTTATAACATGAACAGAGTTAAGAAAAAGACCTTCATCCTAACTTCTACAAACCTATGAATACAGAATCAACCCCTTCAGTGCTAAGGTTCAAGAAGTTCAGTGAATAGAATAGAAACAATATTTTTCTGATTGTTTGGAGTGGAATAGATCTGCACAAGAAGAAAGTGAAACTAAGTGTGAGGAGGAAGGGGCTGACAGTCTAAGTTTCTTAAAACATATATATTTTGTTTAGCCAAATTAGGTAACAAACATGCATGTTTAAGCAAATCACATATGCTGGAATGTTATTGTTTCAGTGGAATAAATCTATTTAAATTGTTATTATTAAGGTAATGATTATTTTTCTCCTTCCTAAAGTACAACAGAAAAGTTGTCCAAATATGAATGATTAACCTATGAAACTGGGGATAAAAAAAACTAATATGAAAAGTTGTTATTCTAAAAATCTTCATCTACTTGCATATTAAAGTTATACCAGCAAGAATTAGTCTTTATGTAGAAAACTAGGATTTAAATCAAGCCTTACTGACTAGTGATTTAAATCAAATCCACCCTGAAACACACAGACTCCTTCGATCAAACATGATCTTCCTAGTAACTTTGACCACTTGCTGCTAGTCCAATGAAACACTCAACCTTCCTTAGAGCTTCCTATATATACACTGACCTGTCAGGATCTCCACCGTTATCCCCTGAACCACACTTTCTTGAGGTATTACCTCTCTTTCTTGATCCTGAATCTGTTTACTCTGTTGCATTTCCTTTTGTGTTTTCCACTTAAGTTCAGACCTCTCCAACTACTCAGAGTGCTTTAAAACTAAGAAAATGTTTTGGACCCAATAACTGCAAATCTATCCCCACTTTGCACAAACCAATCTCTATTCCAAAATCTTCACCTATCTTGAGGTATATGAAAATATGGTGTATTTGTTCTACACTAAATGGCATACTGTACTACTTTAATATTGACTATATATTGGTGTTTGCAGGGGTCGGGTTACTCTCTCTGCCATTAGAGATGAGCTTGGGTGTCCTCCAAACTCATGCTCTTTTTTTAACTCCAGTAAGCTGCAGGCTGGATCATTCTAGCCTCTCAGTCTGCCTTTTTGTTTACATGAGCTGAAGGGCAGGAATGACCCGGCTTGCAACTCACTGGGGTAAAAACACAGCACAAGCTCAGATAGAGATGAGTTTGGTCACCTGAATGCATCTCTGGTTGGGATGTATTTTCCAAACTACTTGCAAATGTACTTTTTCTGCTGTACTTATTCAAAATCTCTCAAAATTCATTAAAAATGAAAAAAAAAACCCCACTAAATACTTATTAAATGGTTCCTATATACCTGGAAGCCAATCTCATTCCCCTTTACTATAACTGAATGTCAGCTGCTCTACATAAACAAACTTCAGATACTTCTGGGTCCTCTCCACCACCTCCCAAATATTCCTACTTGCCTACTACTATAACAGGCTGCCTCCCTGGCCAAGAGCAATGTGTGGTAGGTGGCAGATGATGGTTAAGCTCTGTCATTACCAGAAAGTGAAATAGATTTGCCATTTCAGAATGGCCTGACCTGTTCATTAGCATGCTAAGCACCTGACCTGAACCTCCATGAGCACCTTATTCAGTGAACATGAAAAGCAACTTCCATCTGTATTTTTGTCTCTACAAGTGATGATCCAGCCCCATATATGTACACCCGAGACCTTCAGTCGAAGGTCATTCAAATTACCTGTAGGCTCACTGGCTTTCTTTGAGTTCTGGAAATTAGAAATCTTGCTGTCTTCATCACCAGCTGATGTGTGTATATTGAAAACAGTGGCTTTCTGAGATCTAAGACTGTATGCCTTCTTATCAGACAACAAGGTTATAAATCTGTCGTTTTCTTTTATCTGGGTACCATCCATTATACTAGTAAGACACTTCACAGCACTATGGGACTCCTTGCTTGATGAGGCCTCCTCACAGTTTTCTTTCTCACTCTGTGAGCCATTTAGCGTTGAGCTGTTCACAACACCAAACTTAAGCTGTACAGACACATCTTTTAGACCCGAGGAGAGTGCAGCAGGACAGGACTTCCTAACCCTTCCACGCCTGGATCGTGTAACCTCTCCAGCACTGTTACTTACAGAAGGACGGCTTAGAGGAGTCAGAGAATAAGATGAGTTATCACTAGCACTAACTGGTGTGGATAATGATGTGCTGTTTCGCCGTGACCTTCCTCTTGATCCCTTTCTTCCGGTGAGAAGGTGGCTGCTTATTACTGCTTCAAGATCAACTTTCCTCTGGCAGCTGGTCATGCGGCGTGTTGTCCTGACGTAATATTCCACCGGGAATAACAGCCCCTCCACTAGGGTGCAGGAACTGAGTGGGCTATGGTCCTCCTTGGCTACGTTATGTTCAGTGTGGGTCTTATGGGTTGGTGGAGGCTGGTTTTGAGAAGAGACTGGAGGACTGACTTGAGTAGGTCTCTTCAGATCTGTGTGATTTTCAGGTTCAAGTGCTTGTGGTGGTGTGACCAAAAAGTCACATGTGGAATTGCATGTCACTTCTACATCTAAAGATTTTGATGTTTTTAGTGGGTTGCTCCTTTTTGGTTTCTGACTTAATGGATGTGTTTTCCATAAAATGTTGTTCATTAGGTGTAGTGATTTCTGCACCAACTGATTGCTGAGATTCAAAATTACTCCTAACTTCACCTGGCGAGTTATCTGCGGTCCCCAGTCGGAACACAACGCAGTACCAGAGGGACCAGCAATCTCATGTGCAATGTCTTTAGGCTTTGAATCTTCTGGACAATAGCTAGCAGTCGGACTGTCTGGTCTCAGAGGAACACCATCTGTACGATGCTTTTTAAACACTGGTGACAGGCTTTTATCTACAGTACATTTCTTTTCATCCAGGACATTAACAATATTGCTGACACGAAACACACTTGGGGAGGGAGATTCAGAAAAACAGACTCTTCTTGCCGATCGGCTTAACCTCAGCCGACTTCTGGAAATTTGGCTAGACTGATGAACTCTGTTTCCATCAGCTTCTTGTCCACTGCTCTCACCGCCAGAACAAGAAGGGCTCCTGTTGTCACTGTTGACAATTTTAGGCTCCAAATTAAAGGATACGCATAGCTTTCTTTCCTTGTCTGCTGAGGGGGTCTCAAGAATTTGGTGCAATTCCCCCAAGTCTCCCAAAGCATTGCTGGTACAGTTTTCTGGGTCTGCAAAACAATGAAAACAGTTAGATGCAAAACCTACCATTGAATCACTGACTGCATTTTCTAAGGCATATCAACTGAAGTTTGAAAAAAACTATTCAGCACATGGGAAAAGCTGCAGATGGGGCTTGTTCATAGGTAATAAAAGCCTACACAGATCCTGTCTTCAAACCAGGGGCGGACTGACCATTTGGAAACTCGGGCATTGCCTGAGGGCTAGGGGTCAGTATGGGGCCCCATGAGATGCCCCTGGTACCTTTTCCATAGGCTTTTTTGAGTTTGGGCAAGGACACAGGGGCCCCATGATCCCCTATTGCCCGGGGGCCCCATGAGTTGTCAGTCCGCCCCTGCTTCAAACACTCTTACAAAGCAACAGGTTAGCTGAAACGTCACTCTCCCCAGTAGAACATGCTCACTTTTCTTTAGCTCAGATTCCGCTCTGATGAACTAGAAAATTACATCTCATGCCAATCATGTCATTAGAGGGGACAGAGATGACATGACGGTCAGAAGTAGGAAATATATACTGTACAGTGCATTACAAAAACACATTAAAAAATGCATTTTTACGGCCTACATTAAAAAGTAGCAGAGGTGTAACTTGTTTCCAAGACCACACTCCCTCTTATTGCACCACCACAGAATATATCTATGCAATTCCACCCATAGTAGCAAAACTACGAACTGAAATGCAACCAGGGTCTAAAAGGAGTCTGTGTTTAAATTGAGAATCTTTTGATTAATTTAACATTTATTTTGTTGCTAACAGTCAAAAATATACGATTTAGTCAAACAAGAAGTGGCCAACCTGCTGACAGCAGACAACTATTCTGCTCGGTGTATTCCTGAGTCAGCAGTCGGTTCTGTTCTTCAATGGTTCTCTTGACATGAGTCTTCACCTTTTCAGCTCTCTCAGATTTCTACCATAAGCAGATAAATTCCAATTATTCATTTTCATAACAATATAATGATTCAGCAATAAAAATTAAGCAAAGAGAGAAGATTTTTTAATGGCCTATAAAAACATCAATCACATATTGGTTTGTGTGTTAGAGACTTTAAAAATATGCGTGGATCAATATTTAAATGTTTTTGGACATTATGAGAATAGAAGTTTGTTTAAAGGGTTAGTTCACCTTTACAAGAAAATTTCCTCTGCAGGTAAGGGGCACCCGTAGATAAAACTAAACTATTGATTTGATTAAAGTTGATTGGACACTACATTTGATCTCCTCCATGTCCCACTCGAACTGAAACACAAAAGGGCCCACAGCAGACAGGAGGAATTGATGGAAGCCCCTGCAGACTAGCTTGTGAACAGATCTCAGGAGCAGAAACAACTACAACTTCCTAAAGCCTTGCATGTTCCCCCTGCCATGGGGGCTATACTTTTAATGACTGGGTCTAGGCCCACAAAGAATTCCACCAGACAACCACAAAGAACCCGTTCCACAGAACAGCCTCTGGTCCTATGGAAACACAAGTGAACCTAGCCTAGGAAAGGAATCACAAAAAGGAAGGGAGGATATGGCATGTGTGACCCCTGTCAGACACCCTTCCCTTCCCCTTTCCATGTAAAGCAGGGCTTTCCAAACTTTCTAAACAAAAGGGCCAGTTTACTGTCTTTCAGACTTTAAAAGGGCCAGACTGTGGCCAGTTCGAGTATAAAATACCCCAATGTCAGTGGGAGTAGATGATGTCTCAAGCTTGGTGGTCAGTGGGAGTAAAAAAGGATTATAGCACCTGTGGCCAGGAGGAGGAATAGTGCACCATCATTGATGTCCGTAGGAGGATCAGTGTCTCATCATTGGTGTCAGTGGGAGATTCAGTCCCCCATCTCTGGTGTCAGTGGGAGGACTAGAGCCCCATCGTTGATGTCGGTGGGAGGAATGGTGCCCCATCATTCGTGTCAGGGGAGGAATGGTGCCCCATCATTCCTGTCAGGGAGAGGAATGGTGCCCCATCATTCCTGTCAGGGGGAGGAATGGTGCCCCATCATTCATGTCAGTGGGAGGAATGGTGCCCCATCATTCCTGTCAGGGGGAAGAATGGTGCCCCATCATTCATGTCAGTGGGAGGAATGGTGCGCCATCATTCGTGTCAGTGGGAGATTCTGTGCACCATTGATGGTGTCAGTGGAAGGACTAGTGCCTCACCGTTGGTGTCGATGGCAGGATCAGTGCCCCATTGTTGTGCCAGTTGGAGGAATAGTGCACTATCATTTTGTGTCAGTGGAAGGAATAGTGCCCCATCATTGGTGTCAGTGGAAGGAATAGTGCTACATTATGGGTGTCGGGAGGGAATAGTGCCCCATCCTGGTTGTCAGGGGAAGGAATAGTGCCCCATCATGGGTGTCAGAAATAGGAATAGTGCCCCATCATGGGTGTCAGAAATAGGAATAGTGCCCCATCATGGGTGTCAGAAATAGGAATAGTGCCCCATCATGGGTGTCAGAAATAGGAATAGTGCCCCATCATGGGTGTCAGAAATAGGAATATTGCCCCATCATGGGTGTCAGAAATAGGAATAGTGCCCCATCATGGATGTCAGAAATAGGAATAGTGCCCCATCCTGGGTGTCAGGGGAAGGAAACGTTCCCAACATTAGTGTCAGTGGAAGGAATAGGGCTGTATCATTGGTGTCAGTGGAAGGAATGAGCCCTATCACTGGTGGATGGGAGGAAAAGTGCCTTGTATCAGTGTGAGGAAGAGTGTCAGGGCCACATACTGAAAAAAAAAGACCAGCAGTGTGAAGACTGCTAATGTAAGGGAAAGCCAGTGACTCATTCCCCTCTTTTCATGTGACAGTACCAATTACCTGGCTGTTCAGACACCAAACCAGTCACAAGGAGTTAGGGTGGGGGAAGGGTCCTTAGCCCTGTGTAAGCTCCAACTGGGTTCAACTTGGAGCTTGGGTATGGTTGCTGCTCCACATTTCTAAGAGCAACCAAAGTAGCAGGATAGAAAATTTTTTTTAATATATGTTGCTGCAATGGCTGGCATCAGTGAACTTTGCACTGCATAATCAAAGCACAGGTTGACCTTAGGTGTTCCCTAGTAATAGACTTATCAAATACGGACAATGTTTTGTTTAAGTAACAGTCAACTATTCAAAACTCTAGACAGAACTCTGCTGTACCCCTAATAAACTCTGCCAAATTCACAACTGTCGCAAGCTCAAAGATGCACATCACAAGTACCTGTAAACGATTAACTGTTCTATTGTATTCTTTTCTCAGCAAGGCGAGCCTTTCCTTAAGCTGCAACAAAAAATCATAAACTTAAGATGTCATTAAAAAAGAAAAATATTTAAACATAGAAAAAACAATCACCAGTCAGCTCCACAATGGTAACAACATACTTCACATCCTTCCCCAAAAACTATCATTAGGCCACAGGCCCAGTCTAAGCATTTTGAAGAAGACCAGAAGAGCCACCATTGGCAGCTCCAATACTTCTATGTTCACTTGCAAAATCTACAATTTTTGGGCCTCATACACATGGGCAGAACAGTCTGTAAGCCCACGCAAATGGTTGTCTTCTGCCACTTGGAATGCACAGGTGTTCCAAGCAGGGGTGTGTAGGCAGCCTATTGAAATTGTGATGGATTTGGTAAAATGTCTATTTAGTTTCCTATTGAATATATATATATACACTATTTTTATACACATTTTTTATACATATTTACGTTTATACTTTAATACTATTTCTTTCTTCATATTTATAAATGTTTAGTATGAATACATATGTTGTGTGAATATTTTCTGCCTGCTGGGCTTTGTGGTACTTTAAGAAATCCTTGCTTAAGAAATGTCTGCTCACACGTACCGACCCCCTCCCATCGTGCCAACTTGAAACAAAGGAATGTTTTTCTTTCTATAAGATAAGACCTGGAATAAGATCACAACTATACCATGACGGAGATTGTTTTCATGTGGAAATGACCAATCAAAGACTAATATAATGCTTATGCTGTTCTCACATGACTCTTGCATCATTTTGCATATATAAGCTCACTTTCTCATTATAATAAACTAGAAGTGTTCATAGACTGAACTTGTGTGTCAGCGTGAGTCTCTTCCAGTGTGCGCACATTCCAAAGCTAGAATGATAAATTAGGACAGGAGCAGATAAGCACAGACATTTTTTAGTCCTCCACTAAATCAAAATCAATGACAGGCAGCTGGCTGCAGAGACCTGTCTATACACCTGTGCGAAGGGCTGTCTTCAGCACCCAGGATGTACAGATGATACCTGCAGGGGCATACCGGGGTGTGTAGGCAGCCTATTGAAATCAATGACAGGCCACTGGCTACAGAGACCTGCCTATACACCGGAGCAAAGGGCTGTCTTCAGCCACCCAGGAGGCACAGATGATACCTGCAGGGGCATACAGATGTGTGTAGGCAGCCTATTGAAATCAATGACAGGCAGCTGGCTGCAGAGACCTGCCTATACACCTGTGCAAAGGGCTGTCTTCAGCCACCCAGGATGTACAGATGATACCTGCAAGGGCATGCAGGGGTGTGTAGGCAGCCTATTGAAATCAATGACAAGCCACTGGCTACAGAGACCTGCATGTACACCTGTGCAAAGGGCTGTCTTCAGCCACCCAGGAAGCATAGATGATACCTGCAAGGGCATGCAGGGGTGTGTAGGCAGCCTGCTGAAATCATTGACAGGCAGCCGGCTGCATAGGCTGTCATGTGCATGTCAGAGACATCTATGAATTTGGGCTGAATTTGTTTGTGACTTCCCATCTGCTGCTGTATTCTTAGTAAGGTTATTGATACCGTAAAAGCTATCTGAGTGAAGCTTTCTATACATACAACCTGTGTATGCTGCTGTAAGAGCTTACGGTAGATGCATTCCATTGAAGGGAAGGCATGGCTTCCCATTCCAATGCATTTAAAGAGAGCATTTATCTTTTATGCACCCCCCTCTTGCCTACAGTGCAGCCCGTCCAGGTGCTGCATAGTCTTTTCTCCGCACAGGCCCTTTGCCTGCCGTGTATTTACCAAAGTTCTCATTTCTGTGGATGGATCTGTGCTCATATTACAGATGGAGTAAAATGCCATCCATAGGAATTAATGGGGGCTATTGAACACCTGCACAAAAGTCACAGGGCCCAGCTGGGACAGTTAAAAGTTATTGGTATGATCCAGTCCCACAGCAAGCAGTGCTAGATAATCAGATCACTAAAGTGAATACTTCAATATAACATATAAATAAAAGTGAACCACACAGGTGATCCCAGCACTGGGGGACAAGTATAAGTGAAAAGAGTGCTCAGTGTTATATAAACACTCAAATCCACATAAATATGTGTAATAATAGTGACAAAATATTGATAAATGAAACCCTTATACGATAACGGACTGAATAATAAATCACTAACCAATGAATAAAATAAATTAATTGCGATATCAAAATAGAACAAAAAAGACCAACAGATAAATCCCCTTATAAACACAAGTCCAATCAAAATATGTGATACCAGTGTCCACAATAATACAAAAAAGACATGCAGGTGATCTTGTGCGTTGTTGTTTCTGGTGATATATCCACACACAGCTAAAATGGCTCCTCACCTCCTTACCGTGACCCTAAAAGGGCCTAAAAGCTTTTTGGGTCACTCCTGGACCCTCCAAGACCGGATTCTTTTTAACGATGTTTTCCAACCAATTTCACCTCAGGAGAAAACTTGAGAACCTTCCAGGACAAGATCAGCCCGATGTCCCCTCTATATGGTTCTAATTTGATAAGATCAGTTCCCACAGGATCCACATAAAGAGAGAACCCCAATAGTGTGATACCTTTTTAATTATTCAGAGCAAATATACATATCCAATGCACTCACATTAGTATTCATCTTTCAATTAGCATTAAACCTCATGTATGGGTGTACTTGCATGGGTTCTGTGAGTACAAAGAAGCCGTCCACGCCAGAAGTTGCGTCACCACGTCACCTTGCGGTGATGCAACTTCCAGCCTAGACGCCATCTTTGTACTCACAGAACCCATGCAAGTACACCCATACATGAGGTTTAATGCTGTTTGAAAGATGGACACTAATGTGAGTGCATTGGATATGTATATTTGCTCTGAATAATTAAAAAGGTATCACACTATTGGGGTTCTCTCTTTATGTGGATCCTGTGGGAACTGATCTTATCAAATTAGAACCATATAGAGGGGACATCTGGCTGATCTTGTCCTGGAAGGTTCTCAAGTTTTCTCCTGAGGTGAAATTGGTTGGAAAATCTCATTAAAAAGAATCCGGTCTTGGAGGGTCCAGGAGTGACCCAAAAGGCTTTTAGGCTTTTTTAGGGTCACGGTAAGGAGGTGAGGAGCCATTTTAGCTGTGTGTGGATATATCACCAGAAACAACAACGTACAAGATCACCTGCATGTCTTTTTTGTATTATTGTGGACACTGGTATCACATATTTTGATTGGACTTGTGTTTATAAGGGGATTTATCTGTTGGTCTTTTTTGTTCTATTTTGATATCGCAATTAATTCATTTTATTCATTGGTTAGTGATTTATTATTCAGTTTGTTATCGTATAAGGGTTTCATTTATCAATATTTTGTCACTATTATTACACATATTTATGTGGATTTGAGTGTTTATATAACACTGAGCACTTTTTTCACTTATACTTGTCCCCCAGTGCTGGGATCACGTGTGTGGTTCACTTTTATTTATATGTTATATTGAAGCATTCACTTTTGTGATCTGGTTATCTAGCACTGCTTGCTGTGGGACTGGATCATAATAGATTTAGGACCATATATTTATTCACTTCATATTCATTCTTATCTATCCCAATAGGGATTTTCATGTTTTTGATTGATTATTTATGTATTAAGAAGCGCTGCACCATTTCTTTGTATTTTCACTGATAGGTAAAAGGTGCAGGTGTTAGCAGCTTTATTAGTTAGTAATAGGCTCTTGAGCGCGGGAGGTCTTACTATATAAAAGTTACTGGTGCCACACAGACAATCTCAGGAAAAAAACTGTAGATATTTCCCCGTGGGAGAAGGTCATAAAGAATAACTTTATTAAAATTAAAAAAAACCTAACTCCATACTTTTACTTTAAATAATTTGTCTGGGCTGGGCGTGCTGTGTAACTGTATGTAGCATCAGCTACTTACAGTACACAATGCTGTGTTCTGGCAGTTGAACGGGGACTTCCATCCCTTTCCCGAAACAAAATAGAGTCAGGTTGAGAACTACTCAGCCGTTCACAGAAAGCTTTGTATTCTAATAATGAATACAAAGCTTCCTCTGATTGACTGAGGTAAGGAGATAGGTCGATGACGTCATGATCTCCACCACGGCCAATCAGAGGAAACCTTGTATTCATTCATAGAATACAAAGCTTCCTGTGAATGAATGAGCAGCGCTCAGCCCGACTGACTTCTATTTTGAAGTTCCTGTACCCCTTGCCGGAACACAGTGCTGTATACTGTATGTGGCTGGTGCTGCATGCATTTTATACACAGAGCACCCAGCATATCAGTTAGTGAAGAAGTCATTTGTTTGGGCTAGCTTGGCCAAAACTACTTAAATTCACAGTAAACCTGGAGATAGACTTGAAGCTCCCCTTTGATAGGGAGCATCCCCACTACTGAAGCAATCCAGAGAAAGATGGTGTCAAGCATGGACCTGCGGCTCTTGGCTGCTTTGCTTGCAATAATTATGGATGGATAGGTGTTCCATGATACCTTTGCTTTGTCTTCCAGTGTGAGACATTTCTCCTGCATGTTTTCCATCGCTTCCTAAAAAGCAAAGAGAAGGGGGGATAAGGTAACACAAGCACACTTTGACAGGGAACAATTTATATACGCAATCCATTTAATGTTGAATTCCACAATAAACTTAACTAACCTTAAAAATACACCCTGCTCCTTCTAACACCGAGGCTGACTAACCTGAGTGAAATTTGCAGCCTGCTCCAGTCCAGTCAGGTGATCCTCTTGTCAGCCAACACTGGCTGCAGGGGAGAGGAGAGAGCGCTTGACAACAGCTGGAAATGTCTGGAAGCAGTGAAGTCACCTACAGGCTATTGTCCATCTATTATTGACGCTCCCTCCTCTCCCCTGCAGCCACAACTGGCTGACACAGGGGAGCCGGATCATGTGACCAGAGTGCAGCAGGTGGAAAATAGGTAAAAGGGGGAGGGGGGAGTATTTTTGTATAAGTTAGGTTTATCCTTTAATTCAAAGCTAGCAAGGCTACGCCACTACTGGGGCACACAAATGACTGAGAGTTAACATGCAGAAAGGATAGAGTACATTCAATTAAATGGTGGCTGCTCCCCTAAAACAGGTCCTAAGAACCTAATACACAACAAACAAGCAGAAGAGGGCGCCTCCATCTAAGTGCAGACTGTATTAAAAAGTGACATTATTAATTAAAGTACTGCACTCACTAGATATAGGTTGGTAGTGTGCATCTGCACTCATTAGATATAGGTTGGTAGTGTGCATCTGCACTCTCCCCGGACCCTGCATTCACTAAATCCGGTCTCCCAGGACCCTGCATTCACTATATCTGGTCCCCCCCGGACCCTGCATTCACTATATCTGGTCCCCCCCGGACCCTGCATTCACTATATCCGGTCTCCCCGGACCCTGCATTCACTACATCCGGTCTCCCCGGACCCTGCATTTACTACATCCGGTCTCCCCGGACCCCGCATTCACTATATCTGGTCTTCCCGGACCCTGCATTAACTACATCCGGTCTCCCCGGACCCCGCATTCACTATATCCGGTCTCCCAGGACCCTGCATTCACTATATCCGGTCTCCCAGGACCCCGCATCCACTATATCCGGTCTCCCCAGACCCCGCATTCACTATATCCGGTCTCCCCAGACCCCGCATTCACTATATCCGGTCTCCCAGGACCCCGCATTCACCATATCCGGTCTCCCAGGACCCTGCATTCACTATATCCGGTCTCCCCGAACCCCGCATCCACTATATCCGGTCTCCCCGGACTCCGCATTCACTATATCCGGTCTCCCAGGACCCCGCATTCACTATATCCGGTCTCCCAGGACCCCGCATTCACTATATCCGGTCTCCCAGGACCCCGCATCCACTATATCCGGTCTCCCCAGACCCCGCATTCACATTATCCGGTCTCCCCAGACCCCGCATTCACTATATCCGGTCTCCCCAGACCCTGCATTTACTATATCCGGTCTCCCAGGACCCTGCATTCACTATATCTGGTCTCCTCAGACCCTGCATTCACTATATCCGGTCTCCCAGGACCCTGCATTCACTATATCCGCTCTCCCAGGACCCTGCATTCACTATATCCGCTCTCCCCGGACCCTGCATTCACTATATCTGGTCTCCCCGGACCCTGCATTCACTATATCTGGTCTCCCCGGACCCTGCATTCACTATATCTGGTCTCCCCGGACCCTGCATTCACTATATCTGGTCTCCCACAGTACACAGAACATGGAAATGCAATTATTTTTGTAAATATAAATTGCTAAATACCTTTTCTCATCAGCAGTTAGAGCGGTCTTTTGACTTCTATCAGTGTCCAGCACAGCACATGTTAACCCCTTGACGCCAAGCGTACGCAAATATGCGGCGTCTCTGCCACTGGGCCTTGACGCCGAGCGGCCACATATTTGCGTACCATTTGAAAACACATATGTACTGAGAACGCGCGCCCTGCGCGCTCCCAGCACATATGTCGGTGCCTCATGGATCTCCCCTTTCGATCGGGACCTTTTCCAACCATGTGACTGCTGTGACAGCGAACCATGGCAGTCACATGACCCTAAACATCTGGCGTCTGAAATCCCTTAAAGGGCTGGGAGGTGCCGGTGTGGAGAGGTTTAAGCTTGTAGAAGTTTTAATTTTGCTCTAGGAGGATGCAGAACCCCTGACCTCTGTCTGGACAGAGCTAATTGGCCCTGTGCTGATCACATGCACTCTACCAAGGAAGAAAAAAAAAAAAACCTCTTTAGCAATACACCCCAAACTGAGCATGTGCAGTGACTCCACACAATATGACTTAGCAGGAGATAAGAGAGAAACTGGAAAAAGCGGAGGATCAGAGAAGACAGGATCAAACAGCCTTTTTACACAATACTGACAATTAACCCCTTAGGTTCCACAGTGAGTATAACAAGCATGCTTTACTGCATATACAGACTGATTGTACTGTTGTGGGTTTAGGAACACTTCAAGTTCTCTATGGAGTATGGAGGAGTGACAACCTCTGTCAGGTGTTTATTTCCTGTTTGTGTCCTCAACTGGGGAGATGTATCCCTCTCCATTTGTCCTGGTGACCACTGTCACTGGAACAGAATCCAATAGTCAATCCCAAAACTTTAGGGTTGTCACCGGAACAGGAAAATCCTCTAATGGGGACACATGTTCAGCTGACTTAAAAGGGACAACTATCAAGTTGGGGAGATATCAAGTCACTTCCTGTTGTGACTCCAATACAGGAAGTGAAGGAAAACCCCCCCCAATGAGCCACAGGCAGTGAACAATAACACCTGACAGGGGTTTTAACCCTTTACAAAACTAACAAACATTGGCTATACTGTAAGCAATGCACTAAGTCTGTATACAGATGCCTCAGCTCTGCAGGGAAGAGTGACAGATAATATGAAAGGTCATGACAGAGCCTGCTGTACAATAGCACGAGCTGTGGGAGCTGCTGGGACTTGTAGTTCTCCAGCACAGGACACGGTACGTACTTTCCTGCCGCCTCTCTCCCGGAGTCACGTGTTCCCAGCCCTCCGGTCCCGCCCACTCCTCCCTGGCAGCGGCTCACGTGACGCCCGGGCACGCCGGATGTGACGTCTAGCCGCAGGAGCCATGGAGCTGAGTGAGCTGCTGTATAACAAGTCGGAGTATATAGAGACAGTGAGTTGCTGAGGGGGCCACACGTACAACTGGTAGTTATAGGCGGCCTGCGTGTACTACCGGGCCTGTATACATTCACCCTGTGTGACAACGCCCTGGCCTGTGCAGAGGGGCCTGTGTCACCCCACATAGAGTGTATTCTGACATGATCTGCATGCACCAGAAAAAGGGAAACCATGCCCTGCTGTAGAGGTGAAGGCAGTCATGCCTGGTCTGTATAACCAGAGAGCAGTGACAGCAGATCCATCTGTGTGTATAGGAAGGGGCGATCAGAAGTGGGCTACATCTGTGTGTATAGGAAGGAATGATCAGGAGTGGGCTACATCTGTGTGTATAGGAAGGGGTGATCAGGAGTGGGCTACGTCTGTGTGTATAGGAAGGGGCGATCAGGAGTGGGCTACGTCTGTGTGTATAGGAAGGAATGATCAGGAGTGGGCTACGTCTGTGTGTATAGGAAGGAATGATCAGGAGTGGGCTACATCTGTGTGTATAGGAAGGAATGATCAGGAGTGGGCTACAAATGTGTGTATAGGAAGGAATGATCAGGAGTGGGCTACGTCTGTGTGTATAGGAAGGGGCGATCAGGAGTGGGCTACGTCTGTGTGTATAGGAAGGAATGATCAGGAGTGGGCTACGTCTGTGTGTATAGGAAGGAATGATCAGGAGTGGGCTACATCTGTGTGTATAGGAAGGAATGATCAGGAGTGGGCTACAAATGTGTGTATAGGAAGGAATGATCAGGAGTGGGCTACGTCTGTGTGTATAGGAAGGGGCGATCAGGAGTGGGCTACATCTGTGTGTATAGGAAGGGGCGATCAGGAGTGGGCTACGTCTGTGTGTATAGGAAGGAATGATCAGGAGTGGGCTACATCTGTGTGTATGGGAAGGGGTGATCAGGAGTGGGCTACATCTGTGTGTATAGGAAGGAATGATCAGGAGTGGGCTACATCTGTGTGTATGGGAAGGGGTGATCAGGAGTGGGCTACATCTGTGTGTATAGGAAGGGGCGATCAGGAGTGGGCTACATCTGTGTGTATGGGAAGGGGTGATCAGGAGTGGGCTACATCTGTGTGTATAGGAAGGGGTGATCAGGAGTGGGCTACATCTGTGTGTATAGGAAGGAATGATCAGGAGTGGGCTACATCTGTGTGTATAGGAAGGGGCGATCAGGAGTGGGCTACATCTGTGTGTATAGGAAGGGGCGATCAGGAGTGGGCTACATCTGTGTGTATGGGAAGGGGTGATCAGGAGTGGGCTACATCTGTGTGTATAGGAAGGGGTGATCAGGAGTGGGCTACATCTGTGTGTATAGGAAGGAATGATCAGGAGTGGGCTACATCTGTGTGTATAGGAAGGGGCGATCAGGAGTGGGCTACATCTGTGTGTATAGGAAGGGGCGATCAGGAGTGGGCTACATCTGTGTGTATGGGAAGGGGTGATCAGGAGTGGGCTACATCTGTGTGTATAGGAAGGGGTGATCAGGAGTGGGCTACATCTGTGTGTATAGGAAGGGGTGATCAGGAGTGGGCTACATCTGTGTGTATAGGAAGGAATGATCAGGAGTGGGCTACATCTGTGTGTATAGGAAGGAATGATCAGGAGTGGGCTACATCTGTGTGTATAGGAAGGAATGATCAGGAGTGGGCTACATCTGTGTGTATAGGAAGGGGCGATCAGAAGTGGGCTACATCTGTGTGTATAGGAAGGGGCGATCAGGAGTGGGCTACAAATGTGTGTATAGGAAGGGGCGATCAGGAGTGGGCTACGTCTGTGTGTATAGGAAGGGGTGATCAGGAGTGGGCTACGTCTGTGTGTATAGGAAGGGGTGATCGGGAGTGGGCCACATCTGTGTGTATAGGAAAATCGGATCGGGAGTGGGCTACGTCTGTGTGTATAGAAAGGGGCGATCAGGAGTGGGCTACGTCTGTGTGTATAGGAAGGAATGATCAGGAGTGGGCTACATCTCTGTGTATAGGAAGGGGCGACATGAAATGATCAGAGACTGCGGACATGACACAAGAGATGATCAGAGACTGCGGACATGACACAAGAGATGATCAGAGACTGCGGACATGACACAAGAGATGATCAGAGACTGCGGACATGACACGAGATGATCCGAGACTGCGGACATGACACAAGAGATGATCCGAGACTGCGGACATGACACAAGAGATGATCAGAGAGACTGCGGACATGACACAAGAGATGATCAGAGACTGCGGACATGACACAAGAGATGATCAGAGACTGTGAGCATGACACGAGATGGTCAGAGACTGCAGACATGACACAAGAGTTTGTTACCCATGCGGCCATGACACTTGATTATCAGAAACTGCGGACATGAGACAAGGGATGGTCAGAGTCTGCGGACATGACACAAGAGATGATTGGGAACTGCAGGCATGACACTAGATGATCAGAGACTGGAGACATGACGCAATAGATGGTTAGAGACTTTGAGCATGACACAAGAGATGATCAGAGACTGCAGCCATGAAACAAGAGAAGGTTAAAGATTGCGGCCATGACACAAGAGATGATTAGAGACTGCGGCCATGACGCAAGAGATGATCAGAGACTGCGGCCATAACGAAAGAGATGATCAGAGACTGCGGCCATGACGCAAGAGATGATCAGAGACTGCGGCCATAACGAAAGAGATGATCAGAGACTGCGGCCATGACGCAAGAGATGATCAGAGACTGCGGCCATGACACTAGAGATTGGGGGCATGACAGAAGAGATGATCAGAGACTGCCGCCATGACACGAAATGATCAGAGATTGCCGCCATGACACTAGATGATCAGAGACTGCAGGCAGGACACGAGATGGCCAGAGACTATTTATGTTGCAGTAGACTGTCAGAGACTGTGAACATACTATAGGAATTATTGGAGTCTGGGGATATGCTCCATGAGAATGTTGTCGACTGTAGACATATTATATTAGACTGCTAGAAATCACTGCTAAAATAGGGAAACACAAATGTATGCAAGGGATTGCGGGGGGGGGGGGGGGGGACACAAAACGTGCCAAAGGGCCACAGGTTGGGCACCAGGGGGTTAAATGCTTGCTAAGTCTAGGTGTAGGGGAGTAATCTGTATTACTTACCTTATTCTTTGCTGCTTCAGCAGCCAGCGCGCTCCTTTCCTCTCCAGCGCGCTCCTTTCCTTTCCAGCGCTCTCCTTTCCTCTCCAGCGCTCTCCTTTCCTCTCCAGCGCACTCCTTTCCTCTCCAGCGCTCTCCTTTCCTCTCCAGCGCTCTCCTTTCCTCTCCAGCGCGCTCCTTTCCTCTCCAGCGCGCTCCACTCCTCTCCATCGCGCTCCACTCCTCTCCAGCGCGCTCTTTTCCAGTGCTCTCCTTTCCTCTCCAGCACTCTGGGTTGTGGACAGGCCTCCACCATCCTCACATACAATGCAGGACCATTGGTTCTACATTGTACGTAATGATGTAAGGATGCGGCCGGAGCCCTGAAGAGAAGCGACTCCAAGGGACCGATCACTGAGGAATCCTGCTAGAGCAAGGAGAGAGATGAGTATTAAGGCTTCTTCCTCTACCCCTAGACCTAATGAGCCTTTAACCCTTGCAGTTCATGGGGGCCCACTAGAAGATTATTTTTTTCTGGCGCCAGAGTGGAGCTTTAAAGAATACAGTGGTATCACCTCCCTGCCTCAGTCTGCTAACTGGAAAATGAGGGCACATCAGTGCTCCCCCTCCTGTAAGAAGTCTACAGTGTTAGGCCAACCGTACAGTGCAAGAGAGCTTTCCTTTCATTGGCTGATACATGGTGGCCCTTTCTCTCAAGCTGAGTTCTGCTGTGCAGTGGATTACAGGAAGCTAAAATAAAGACAGATATGAGATCCTTATCCTGTCTATATACATAAATGTATGACAATTAGTCACAGACTAAATCTTAGTAATGTGCTTTTTTTTTCATTACTAGGCATCTGGAAACAAAGTCAGCAGGCAATCTGTATTGTGTGGAAGCCAGAACATTGTACTCAATGGCAAGGTTAGTAACGTGACACATGGATCTCTCCAGTATGGGGAAAAGAAGCAAGCTTCATGAAAACAAACAAAAGGATACATATTAGTGCCAGGTTTAGTGGTCCTCCCTTATTTTGTCCACTAGCCAATCAACAACAGTAATTTTGCAGCGTGGGCAGGCACTGCGACGTACCTGTAGGTCGCCCCACTCATACGCACCCCAATCTGCGATTGCTGTGACCAACATACATAGCGGATTGCGATGCTCGGTATTGGGCCTATATGATCAGCCCAAATGCCACGTGATCGCTGTGTGATCACACGCAGGGGCGGACTGACAACTCATGGGGCCCCGGGGAAATAGGGGGTCATGGGGCCCCTGTGTCCTTGCCCACACTCAAACCACACCCAAAAAAGCATATGAAAGGTACCAGGGACATCTCATGGGGCCCCCTACTGACCTCGGGCAGTGCCCGAGTTCCCCAATGGTCAGTCCGTCCCTGATCACACGTCACAGTCTCAGCTGGTTCAGCAGGAACCATGTATGGGCAGGCTGAATGTACCCAAGTTGATCGATTGATCGTTTGGGTACAACCACCCTGCTGGATTTTTACATATGATTATCGCTTGCTAGCTGGTATAGCCACTAGCAATAATTACTGAGGATGGCTTCCACCCCCCTGCTGGGAGAATACAATGGCTCGGCGAGAAGTGACAGCTTCCCGGGTAGGATTTCAGGTGGATTCAGATTAGTATCTGAGCTTATCCCTGATAGTGAGGAAGGAAAGAGAGGGGGAAACCATAACTCACAGTAATGCAGGCCATAGAGGGGTCATTTATCAGCCGAATTTTCGTCCGACCGAAAAATCTGCCGATATTCACACCGTTCGTGGGGCAATGCCCTCGGCCATTTTTCACGGATCTTCTCGTTTCTTTTTATCGGTCATCCTGGAAAATCTACGAAAAATGTCCATTTTTCGTAAGCATTGGTGGCAGCATTTATGGCAGCAACGACCGATTTTTCGTTTATTGGCCGACAATTCGACCCGTCTATGGCCAGCCTAAGGGATATTGGCATGGGAATCTGCTGGATGTGCCAGACACACAACATCTTTTCACAAGCATTTGTTTTTAACGCAGTAGAGTGTGGTGACATATTAATGTATTAAACACCAGGAACAAACATTTTTTTTTGCAGCTTACTAGCACTTAGATGTGGAGGCTGCATTAGTTTTTTTTTTTTTTTCAGTCTATGGACTTTTTCTACAAGTACAAAAAAACCTGTTCATAATGGCAGAAATCTTGTGTCCTCTACATCTAAACCTCAAATAATGTTGTCTGCTTTCCCAGCTATATTCTGTTATCTACAGAACACCTCATACCATGTTATGGGGGAAGGGGGTTGTAGATCAGATCAGAAAAGCAGCCTATGGTGACATCACTGCTTTACCACAGACACAGTACAGTGACTGAGTGTTGTCATCCTAAGTCAAGAAGTGTGTTACTGGCAATAAAAACGAAAATCTTAAAAAATATACCAGCTTTGATGCTGGAGAAGCACTTTACATGTGCCGTTGACAGCCTAGAGAACTAAAAGATCGATTTGGTAGACCGGCTATTTATTTATTTCAGGTACTTATTTAGCGCCGTCAATTTACGCAGTGTTTTACATATATATTGTACATTCACATCAGTCCCTATCCCCCAAGGAGCGTACAATCTAAGGTCCCTAACTCACATTCATACATACACATACTAGCTATGTCACTAGAAGGCCAAATGATGAAGTTGCAACTGTCATAATTTGAACACACCGTCAGAAGAGAGAGATCGCTGGAGAAGGAAATAATGTTTTGGAAGATCTATGGAAGCAGGAGACAAGGGAGACCGACTACTAGGTGGTTGGACACATTCGTGGGGATGACACTGGAGGATCTCACCAGACTAGGACAAAAGCTGACATTTTTTAGAGCTCTTATTTATCAAGTCGCTAGGACTCAAACTCGAGTTGGTGGCACATAATATCAATTATTAAAAAAGCCATCCTCCACTCAAATTGTGGATACAAAAAACAGCCAAATGCAAACACCACTGTACTACAGGGAATCTGATACATTAAGATGCAGTTCCTTTTTTCAACCAGTTGATAAGGTGGCGCTGTTGCCATAGTCATATTGGCCTTTCAAAAGGGATCTAAGTCTAAAGCCTAAGTGGCCAGTTAGTGAACTGAGAACTGTCTGTGTTTTCTATCCCATTTGGCCAAATTATCATTTTCAGGCTGCAGTAGAGAAGAGAAAGAGAAGGTCAGAATGAAGGCTTTTTCTTCTCTCAGACATTTTCAGTCTGATTTATATGTTTGACATACTCTGTAAATCAACGTACTGGAACAAATGAGGCCCAGATTTTCTTTATTAAAATATTTATCATTAAATATCATTAAATGATAAATGAAATGATAGATTAAATATTATCATTAAATATTCAATGTAGTATATTAAACTTGGACATATATTAACTTGATAATAGGGATAGCAGCTGAAAGAAGGGCATGTTGCTGCTCTAAACCTGGTAGGGTTCTGGTGCTGGGGGTTGGACTTTAAAGATTATCTCATAACTCTAATTTATACTCAGAAGCATGCAAACAATGACCAGATTAATTTCTTTACACATGTGCAGAAATGTGCATATTCAGCCTATCAACTGAACATCAGCTCATTGAGCTGATTTATGGTTTTTTTTTTTTTTTTGTCAATTCAGCATTTTTATTGGTTCTCAATTTTTTGTAGGAAGCATAAAATGGAAGGGGGGAGAATCAAAGTCAGGGGCAGAGCCATATGTACGCAAAAAAAAAAAACAGAAGCAAAAACTTATGCAGGCCATAGACGGGTCGGATATCGGCCGAATTTTCGTTTGCACGAAAAATCGGCTGATAATCACGCCGTTAGTGGGGCCAGCCCGATGGCCGTTTTTTCACGGATCTCCTCATTTATTTTTATCAGTCATGCTGGAAAATCCGCAAAAAACTGACCTTTTTCGTGGTCATGGTGGCAACATCGGCAACTGGGCCGACCGATTTTTTCGTTTGCCTTCATGCACCGATAGAAAGACAATGCCTTGGCGGGTAATTATCAAACCAATCCCCCCCCCGGGCTGAGCGAGCCTATGAACTCAACATCAGCTTATTGAGCTGATTTATGTTATTTTTTTTTTTTTTGTCAATTCAGCATTTTTATTGGCCCTCAATTTTTTAGGGGGGAGGGGTAAAATCAAAGTCGGGCACAGCCATATGTACACACAAAAAAAAAAACAGTGCACAGATAGACAATACCTTGGTGGGAAATTATCAAACCAAGACTGCACTAACTGCTGATGAGAAAAGGTATTTAGCAGTTTAAATTTACTAAACTAATGACATATCCATGTTGAATGCAGGGTCCGGGGAGACCGGATATAGTGAATGCAGGGTCCGGGGAGACCGGATATAGTGAATGCAGGGTCCGGGGAGACCGGATATAGTGAATGCAGGGTCTGGGGAGACCGGATATAGTGAATGCAGGGTCCGGGGAGACCAGATATAGTGAATGCAGGGTCCGGGGAGACCGGATATAGTGAATGCAGGGTCTGGGGAGACCAGATATAGTGAATGCAGGGTCTGGGGGGACCAGATATAGTGAATGCAGGGTCCGGGGAGACCGGATATAGTGAATGCGGGGTCCGGGGAGACCGGATATAGTGAATGCGGGGTCCGGGGAGACCGGATATAGTAAATGCGGGGTCCGGGGAGACCGGATATAGTGAATGCGGGGTCCGGGGAGACCGGATATAGTAAAATGCGGGGTCCGGGGAGACCGGATATAGTGAATGCGGGGTCCGGGGAGACCGGATATAGTGGATGCGGGGTCCGGGGAGACCGGATATAGTGAATGCGGGGTCCGGGGAGACCGGATATAGTGAATGCGGGGTCCGGGGAGACCGGATATAGTGAATGCGGGGTCCGGGGAGACCGGATATAGTGAATGCGGGGTCCGGGGAGACCGGATATAGTGAATGCGGGGTCCGGGGAGACCGGATATAGTTAATGCAGGGGTCCGGGGTTTAGTAACACTGTAAGAGGGCACCGCACATATGCATCCACGGATGGTAGAGGCTTTTATTTTGAGCGCATGTTCACTGCACGCTCCCAGTCTGTAGTAATGATCGGGAGGTTGCAGCATCAGCCAATCACGGTAGTCATATGATCAGGAAGAACTTGCCGCCCCCAGGGTGTTATAGCTCAGTTAAAGGGACGCCAGAGCTGGACTGTCCACCCAAATCAAGGAGCTAGTTTGGTTTTTGTTTTTTTTAAAGAAACATTTGACCGCATTCTTTGTCTAATACCTTAAGTCTAGAATTGGCATAAGATTAGACTGCTCCCTTTGTCATTGCCACTAAGCTCCTGTTTGTCTTCCTCATAATCCCGGTATTTTCAGAGTGTACAATGTATTTGTGTAAACAGATTTTTACTTTGTTGTTGTAAATACCCAGAAGCCTTCCTAAATCTGCTGCAAGCTGTGGAGGTGTAGCAGGGCTGCCAACCCAAAATGTGTTTTGTTTTCGTAGACGGCTGTATGGAAAACTACAGACGGCTCGACCTGTTTGTATACATGTTGGGTTGGAGTTAACAGAGGATAGGTGAACCTTGCTGTTCACCTTTTACTACGCTCAGTGAACATTCGTTTTTCTAAGTGAACAGACTTTGCAGGTTAGGAATCATCCCAATCATGTTGATGGTCCTAAATTGGCATGGTCGAAGATGTGCGTAGGACGATTCTGTCCTGTGAGAGCTCCATGCCGTAATTCCCGACACAGTCCGTCTAGGATTTATTTATTTTTATGTTATTTATTACAGGTATTTATATAGCGCCATCAATTTACATATCTATATTGTACATTCACATCAGTCCCTAACCCTCAAGGGGCGTACAATCTAAGGTCCCTAACTTACATTCATACATACACATATTAGGGCCAATTCAGACAGGAACC